ACCCGCATGACCTCCTCGATGTACTTCTTTACGGGCCGCCAACTGTCATCCACGTTGATGCTAGGACTGAAAATGATGACTCTCTCGAAGCAGCCGCGATACTGCTCCAGAATCATGCTTACGAGGGCCGTGCTCTTGCCGCTCTTGCTCGGTCCAACTAGAATTCCCGTCATTGGCAGGCGTGGTACTACTGAATCCTTGGGCTGCTTGACCTCATAGGAAGGAGATGGAAAAAGCTTGATCTTGCTCATTCCGCCTTTACTTTTCAATGAATGAATCGAACTGTCGCACATCCTAATGAAAATGACGGACGCCGAATTGAAGCATCTGGCCGCCGCCGTTCGCGAAGCACCCTCTGAGGCGAATCTCGTTCATCTTCTGGACCTGGTCTTGTAAATGGAAGCACCAGGGCAGAACTCGACAGATCGGTCCTGGCGCATTTGAAAAGTACGCAACTCTGGGGCATATGCACACGGAGGCATCGCAGGCATCTCGCGAGCTTCTGATGATGAAGAAATCTGCGCGGCAGTAAATCATTTTCTGCGAAACCGGTTCCCTGGCATCGCGATCCTCTGCAATCCGAAGATGGGGCTTCATCGCGACCTGCTGAATTTGTCCCCTGGCAAAACTTGGACCTCGATCGCGATCCTCTGCAATCCGAAGATGGGGCTTCGTCGCGACCTGCTGAATTTGAAGGGAAATATGAATCATGCGATCACGTTGGGCTCCTTTTCTGGCGGTCGAGTCTGGGTCGAGGATGAAAACGGTTCATTTCCGGCCGATGTAAAGCTGAGAACCAAAACGCGCTCCCTCATCGGGACCTGGCACGACATTCACGACAAACCGACAACTTTCGACGCAAGGCGCTTTTATCAAGTCGAGCCGCATGAAGCTGGATCTCAAAATGAACTTGCTTAAAAGCTTTCATCGTTGAACTTTCCTTTGCCAGAGCGCACAACTGGAAAAACTTTGTCGGACTTCATCGAACGCGAAAAAAATAAAACGATGAAAGCGAATCGCACCGCTCCGCAGCGCCGCAAGCCGCGGTTGACAAATTTTTTTTGTGGATTTGGCGGTGCGGATTGCGGGCAGCGCGCGCGCTGAACCTTTCCAGAGCCCTCGCAAAAAACTATCTCTGTAGAAAGCGATCTGCTAAGGGCTTGTAGTGGGCTAACAGTCTTGACTTAGGAGCAGTAATGGCAGCGGGTGTAGCATGAGATTCACAACACTCTCCCAAAACACAAGAAAAACTTTTAGCGGCTTCCAAACACCTCCTTAATTGTAAAGATTAATGAATGGCTTCTCACCAACAACATCCAACCACTGTAAAAGAGGCGCCTCCCACTTTATGATAAAGGGTTCGTTGAAGGCCTTTCTCCAGTCGATAGACAGGGTTACAGCTCCAACCAGTTGTTCAGGTCTTGCCCCTGCCTTGCAATGACTGAATGTGAGCTTCTGCGCATCAAGCATCTCCTTCGGGCTGTGCATGTGCTGAAATGCTCTGGCGAGAGCCTGCGCAGTGCCTCTACTCTCGTGTACGCGAACTGTGGCAGGTCTCTGACCTCTCTTGCTTGGCTGGTTTCAGGATCAAAGCTGCGTGTCTTTCCACTCTTGCAAGATGCCAACAGTCCCTTGCCTCCATTGATCCAGGATAGTGCGCTCGAGAAGAGCCGTGCCGCTGTTCTCCAGGATATACTTGGTGCACAGTGCGCTCGTGGAGATTTCAAACCAGGTAAGTGTCCACAATCGAGATGCACGGAGAGCAGATCCGCTCATGTTGAATTCAGGATGTATCGCGTTCAGTTACGTATGGTCGGCTTGATGCCCACTTGACGCCTCTAGGGATATTACAATTCCTTACAAATCGCAACTTGTGTGCGTTACGATTTGCAGCAGACTCTGGCTGGGGCAGCGTTCACACGAGCTAGCCTGTCCAAGGCCAATGTGACCCAGTCGTCTTTGCCTCTTGAGTCTGCAACCCCAGCCAGGAGAACTTTCTTTCGGCAATGGAGCACGTGCGCACGGCTGTTTAACTCTCTTCCAGCAATGGAGCATGTGCATTGCGGTGTCATGGCCTTAGGGCAGGAGTCACGAGGTTTCTGTCGGCCACGCAATGCTCGACGAGAACAGACAAGACACCAACGGAAAACGATCTTTGCCGCGGAACCTCTCTTTACGGCTTTCTTCACGACTCTCTGCCACGAGCTGCCTTCCTCATTGTCAGACACGGGGAGGCTGAAGAAGTTGGGATTGTCCAGTATGATCCTCAGCCTTCTGCCATCGGTGCCCAGTAGTTGCGGAAGGATCCTGAGTTCAGCATCCGCTGACTTCTTTGCACCAGACCGGATTTCACTGCACTTCGCAAAACCACCAGAAAACAATTGCTGACACAATGGAACAAGAACGTCTAAGTGCCTGTCTTCATTGTGACTTGTAGCGGGAAGGCTCGATGATGATCCTTTGTCCCTGAGAACGAATTTACAAGCCCATCAGCGTTGTCTGCCAAATTCCAAGCATTCCCCAGCAACTTAGTTGGATGCTGAGGTGTTTGCTCTGGGAAACAGTGAATCGATCATCCTCACGCTCTGAACGCTGTGACTCTCATCCCCAGGCATGATGTCTCGGCTCAACTTACAGTTAGAATTGCGCTTTTCGTTGAGTCGCTCAC